GCCGCCACGCCCCGCCCCTCCCGGGCCCTCATTGGGCGCCGCCGCGGGAGCCCCGCCTCTTCCGGCGGCCACCCTGCGTCACTTCCGTTCACTTTCGGCTGGCGGCCTCGTCCCTAGAGACGTCCCCTGAGCCGTCCCCCTCGCTGGGTGTGGAAGTTTGTCTAGTGCACCTTGACCTGACTGGCAAGTCTCGTTCTCCCCTGGCCGAGTCCGCCTTCTCGTCCCCGACCGCTTCCGGGTGTTGCACGGTGAAGGCTCGGCCTTCGAACCTGTACCAAAGCCACGTGAGCGGCTTCCCTAGCGCCCTGGAGCCTTCAGGTGTGGAGGGGCGCTTCTCGGGCGCGGGCGCTTAGGTCTCACTCGTGTTGCACCGGGGGCGCAAAGAGGGTCAGTTGTGTCTCCTGGTCGCTAGTTTGCGTCTTTAGCCGGTGAGCGCTGTAGCGGAACGTTAATGGTAACCTACTGGTCCGATACTGTGTCTTTAAAATCACATTTTCCAGTGAGTTCGGGGCGGGGGGGTGGGGAGGGGCTTGTGGGGTCCCCACGAAGTAAGTGGGCGGCTTTGCGATTTCCAGGGACGTGTTGCCATGCAACTGGGCTGCCCAGAACTGTGACAGGCGGGAAGAGAAAGCCGCTCTGAAGAGACCCCGCTCAGATGGTCCTTTAAAACTCGGCTTTTGTAAGCTGCCTTAAAATGGGGTACAAGGCATTCTAGTAAAAGGACAATCCATCGGCTAGCGTGCTCTCAGTTACAGTCTACTTTAGGTAAACCAACCAAGATGTTACACTTTGAAATCGGTATCAATGATACGGTGTTCTTTGAATTAATTGTCTTGCTTCCTGAAGTGTACATCTACGTGGGTTTCAATCTTAGCCCACTGCATCCTAATACGTTTTGACCTTATTGGAGTCGTAGTGCTTTTGTAAGGGACAGTGTTTATAGCTCAGTTGTCTAGTGAATGTTCGTTGAATGACTTCCTGAAATTATTCTCTCCCTCCTATTCAGCCCCTGATGTATATTCATGAAGTTCGTTTTGAAATTTAAATATGTAAAGAAACTGGCTCATCCATTCTATGCAGTACTGAGATGGAACAGGAATTTAACACAGAAGCTGCAGCTCCCCTCCTCCTACCCCATCCAGCAAGTCTGAACTCTGGCCTTAGGGGGGAAAAAAAGGTCTGCACATTCCAGAACAAAGTGACCCAAACCCTACTAATTTAGACTCTTTATCTTGCTTGCCCTTTAGTCTTTACTTACCTGACTTATCTTGAGGAACACAAATGTTAAGGTCCTGAGGTCTTGCTAAACAAAAACTGATCAGTACACATTCAGAACCCCACCTATAAGCCCCCTCTATCATACTAGCACCCTTAAAACCAAAGGCACAGTTGTCTCTTGAATGTGCCTGCACTCACTCTTGACTGCAGTCACTGCAATAAAGCTTCACTTCTCACTGGTTCCCACGAGAATCGTCTCCTTTGAGAAGTCAGGAGCCTCCTGGCTCACTCTGAGTATGGACAAGACTTACACTCTTCTCTAGTTTATTATTCTGACAGCCAAGGGAGAGTTGATTCTGGTAGATGCTGTGAAGTCTGTCAGGATGCCATCTGTACCTCCCAAAGTCTTCTGCTTTACATGGTCCCAAGTTAGAATCACGTGTTTGGTCAGAACTCCTGCACTGGTTATTAGTCACTTTTTATTGTGTTGAGATTAGCTGCTACCATCATGTCGTTACGGGACCTTAACCCAAAAGTGTGGGTCCTCTGCCCACTAGGGAAAGAATTCACCAGAAAACGCTAATTGTATCTGAACCAGGCGAGGCTTTGTTAGAGAGACTCAGGCATGAAGGAGCCAGTTTATGAAAGGATTATATAGCCTGGCAATCTGGAGGGAGTTAGATGGAAGTAGGCATTTGTAGGTTAAGTCCACGTGGTGGGAAGGGGCTAGCAGCAGACTTATAGCATGGTCTGGGTTGGGCTGTGTCCAGCATCTGCAAATGGGTTATGTTCCATCTATACCTAGGGTCTCTTGGCCTTCTCTCACCTAGATATTTTGAGGTAATTACTAGTCATGAGCTGATACTATATCTGTCAGGGTGCCTCATGGTCAGTGCCAAATTGTTGGGATGGGACTTACCATCCATGATTTAGTCTGCCTATTCTAATAAGACTTAGGCTACCTCACCCTGCTGCCTTGCCAGTGTTTTTTATCTAGTTGTCTTCATGTTATTCTGGGAGTTTGGGGGCCCCTCAAGAGCAAGAATTCTGGTTTCTCCATTACCACACTGGTTTAAATAGGAATACAAATTCATTGGAGTATAGTTTTGATTACCTAAATTTATATAAGATACTAGTAATGAGAGTATCACATAGAGGTAATGAAGTAATAAATGTACCTTATAGATTTGTTGTTAGTATAAGTGATTAAGCATTTAAATTAATGGTTTCTGTAATATAAATGCAACTGCTTAGCATATTATCATTGTTTAGTGTAAGTATACCATAATTCCTGTATTATATATAATTATTGTAAATATAATATAAATGTTAGCTGTTATATATAATAGTGAAGATTTTATCAATAACATTTCCTTTGTTGATACTTATGGAATTTTATAAAAAAAAGTGCTAGCTTTTTCAAAATCCTGCTTCTTAGTCACACACTCAGGCATATTCCACATCAGAACTTGAAGGCAGGTTTTAAGAAAGTGTGGCCTATGGAGTAAAAATGTTCTCTAGCTGTCAGGCATTGCCTGTCCCAGGGTCTGCAGAGGCAATAATGAGGTGCCCGAAAGTGAGACTCTACTGACCTGAAAGGATACCACGCCTGGAACAATTGCGTTTTGTACTGGGAACCACAACACAATGGATCTTGTCATAAAACAATAGCCCAGTGTGGATATGGTTCCTAAAGTCTTATTTATATTTTGTGTTAAATTATTCTATGTGAAAGACTTGCAGCCCAGTCCAAGTTTAATTTGACCAAGTATTGCCTAGTTCTTTTCTGTATATTTTCTCCATTTTACATTGAAAATTGAGGAGCACTATTTTCATCGCTGTAGCTCTCAATAATTTGAACAAGTACACATACTGCCTGAATCTACCTCTCATATATTGCAAGAAGAGGACTGTGGCCACTAACCATTAGACCCAAAGGCCTGTTTCCCTTCTAGTTAAGTTATTGGAATTTACCTTAACCTCAGAGTTTTGGAGGCTTAAGCCACGAATTTTAACATAAAAAGTGATTTTGTGAAGCAGTGATGTTATTGAGAGTTCTTGCAAAGCAAAAGCAAATTCACTTGAGTGTGGTGGGGGTGGTGGTAAGTGCAGGTATGGAAGCATACTTTGATCTAGGCTGCACAGATTTTGGAGATGTAACCATGAACCTATAATCACATATTCCAACAAGCTGTCCTGACACAGGCAGACACAGGAATGGAATAATAGAGGGGAAAATCCCATTAGTTTGATAGACACTATAAAATAAGCATATTTGAATAAAATGTGTTTTTAAAGGGAATATAAAAGCACTTTAAGTGACTAGTAGAGATGAAAAAAATGCATTGAAATTAAACATTAATGGACAGATTTCTGCTTCCAGTTCAGATGTAGAGGGACAAGAAAGACATGGTAAAAAGAAAAACCTCAACAAAAATATAAAACCAGTTTTTCCATGCAGTCAGCAAGGAATGCTACCTAAAAGGAAGCCTATTTGAACTGATATTTTAAAGATGAATGAGATAGTCATGCATAAACAGAAGAGCTCAGTAGCTTCTTATGTGGGTGTTGGTGCCTGAGCTAAATGGAGATTTGACCTGCAAGAGATGTAGGTGAAGAGAACCCAAGTAGGATTTAGCCACTATGTGGAATTTGGGGTACTGGAATCTGGACGAAGACTGCAATATACTGAGTTTTTTATAAATCGCCTGAACAGTATTTCCCATCTAACATTCTCTTTTCTGCAGTATGATGTTGACATTTTCACACCGAGGGTAGAATCCATAATTCCTCCCTTGATTCACCTTCAGGTTATGATATGGTGGAGAAATAACGTGAATTCTGAGGCTAAGTCATAAAAGGTTGTATAACTTTTGATTGAGCCACATGACTTTCAACCCTGACTAATGTAAGGATTCCTTGGCTGTCTGTATATGAGGAAAGGTCGTGAGGTGGAATTATTCTGGACCATTCCAAGCTGAGTTCCCAGCCAATCATTGGCATCACCCAGCAGGCATGTGTTTGGAGCTTCCTCCAATGATTTCAGTTCTTTGCCTTAGGTCACCTTGCACCTAATCCTCTGATTCCTAAACATAATAAAAATTTGTTTCATTTCAAGTGTTCTTGTTTTATTTCAATTCTAATGTCTTCTTTTCAAATGTCAAAGCTGCTTCTTTTGTAATGAAACAATAGATAACCAGAATAAGCCCCAGATTTGAAAAGACTTACTTACCTTGACAGTTCTCACTTCCCTAGATACTACTTCCACCTGAACACTACCACAAAGGCAGCAGTAGAGGACAAGCTTGAAAATGGATGTGAAACATATTCCTCTGCAGCCTCAAAGTGCTTGGATTCTGCACCCTGTCAAAACTGATTTTAAAGATGACGTGAAATTAATCTGAAAGTAATCCAACCTTCTTC